GGGGGAGGGAAAAAGGAGACAGGGAGGGAAATGGGAGGCGGGGAGGAGGTGGAAATTTATTTTTTTTTCAATAAAAATTATATTTAAAAAAAAGAAAAATAAAAAGGATAGCTATGTGGAGAGGAGTCTGGAGTTGGCTCTAGGGGATCCAAGATACTTCAGAAGATGGGGCAGAGTCACGATTGTGGAATGGGGAAAAAGTACCACAAAAGGTCAGGGACCACTCAGGCTGGGCTAACCACGAGGCGTGGCACTGGAACTCTGCCTTTATCTTGGGTTTGCCATTGTGTTCCCTGGCTTTAATTCAGATCTCAGGGAAAACGAAGGTCAGAAAATGGGTCCATGAAGCTGGGAGGTGAAGTCAAGGGTTCCTTAATGTTTTGATTGGAGGGACAGTTGGAAGAGAGCATTTCTTTAAACATTTCCCATTGGGCTATAATGTTAGCGTTAAGGGATCAGGTCTTCCTTAGTCTAGTTAAAATGCAAGTGACCGCAGCAAGAAGAGAATATCACGTGCTAAGCTGCTCCACAGGCCTCCGTGTTCATAGTATAGTGTGAGTAGACAGGTCACCAGAGGGTACGCATGGTGGGTGGGAAGCCACTGCAGGAGGCCTAGAGTACCCCTTTGTATGGAGAAAGCTATCCAGAGATTGAACGTCCCTTTCATGTCTGCCTAGACAGAACTGCCCCTGCCGCAATGCTCGGTTACTTTGGAACGTTAGTTTTTCCAGGCTTTCTTCATCCTCGTCCTCATCTGGGTAGCTCTTGGACTCAGTCATAAGATGCCGCTCTTCTATGTTGGATGTGACAGAGACTGCTCGGCTAAGTGATGTCCTCTTGGTGCTGGTGGTGGTTCCCTGGTCTGATGGCATCTCTTCTTCTTCTGTAGAGGAAGCAGAGGATGAAAACGCAGGGGAAGGAGCTGGGTGGGGGACAAGGGAGATGGGGAAAGAATGGCTGTGCTGACCAGCACCGTGTACTACCAACCCTAATGACCTAGAGCACAATCAGATGGCTCCCTCTGACAGGGTTTCTGCTTTTAAACGTGCTTAGATACTGAAAGTATACATTTGCCCAGGAAACTCAGAGAATTCCTAAGAGTCCGAAGTTAAAAAATAATAAAGCCTGAGCTAGACACATGGTGACGGGGTCTGAAGCTGGTTATATAACTGCCAGAGCAGGAGAGGCACTGCTCCACAGATTTTAATATTCAGGTTGTCATGACTATGTGGAGACAGTTCTGTACCCTCAGCTTCTCACCAATGTTTCCCGTGTCATCGTTAAATGTGTCTGGCACCTGTCAGACCAGCACCCACCTTATTATCTCCTCTTCCACAGCATCTCAGTGGGTACAGCAGTCTGTGACCACACTAGGGGTCTCTAACCGAGGGGCATTATCTGTTTTGTTTGGAATTGAGATGTGACTAGAGGTAGCTGCCCTTCCTGGGTCATGGTTAGAGAGGTCAGAGTCCACAGCATGGGAGCAGCATGAGGCAGGGTTGGGAGAGGGATGGGTGAGCATTCAGCCTGGGTTCCCCCTGGACCCATCAGCCCTGGATCCAGATCATCTTCCACTGGGACAAATGGAAAAACCAAGCTGATAACTTTGGTGTGTATGGACTTCAAGAGCAAACAAGGCTCTTGTCTGCCTCCACGAGGTCCTGTGTACACTGCAGGCTCAGGGTCTCCCAAGGCCACTGGACATCCCTCTGACTCGAACTGTGCCCCTGATCATCCTCCTGACCACCAGCTCTCCAAAGGGAGGCTCCTTTCGCCATTTATCTTCTTTGCAGCCCTTCAGCTTAACCCTTGCAACACAGTGGGTAACCTCTGCATTTCTGCCTCCCTACATCCATACACTGAAACCTTGGCCCTCAATGTCTCAGGTGACTTTATTTGAAAATAAGTCCTTTAAGTAGGAATTTAAGGTTTCCAGGTCATCATATAGGTATGACCTGATTTAGTGTGACTGGTTACAACATTGAAGAGATTAGGACAGAGACCCACGGTGGGAAGGCACAGGAGGAAGAGAACTCTCCATAAGAAGAGATGGTTTTCAGAAGGTACCAACCCCAAAGATACCTTGATCAAGTATATCTAGCACCTGGAACTGTGAGAGCCACTTGCCCTGTGACATTTGTACAAACAACTCCAACAAGTTATTGGTGCTGAACACTGGTCGAAACACTGAATGTAGAGGCAGTCTTTCCTGCAAGTCAAGTGAACAGTCTCTGACTGATTTTCCTAGAGAGATCATGAGGCAGGTGGAGAGGATTCCATCCGGACCATTAGGTCATGTCTCACATGCTACACGTTGTTGAGCATGTCATGTACTGGCTGCTGTCCTATGTACTAGGTTTAAAAGAAAAAGGCTATACAAGGTGTGTGTGTGTGTGCGAGCACGTGTGTATGTGTGTGTGTGTGTGTGTGTACACGCAGAGGTCAGAGTACAACCTTGGGTGTGGTCTTTACCCCCCACTTTTGTTTGAGACAGGGTTTCACAAACACTGCTGAGTATGTCAGACTAGCCGACCTGAGGATACCCGGATGAGCTTCTGCTCAGCCCGCCTCCCATCTCATCATAGGAGCTCTGGGGTTGCAGACAGGCACTTCTGTGTCTTGATGCACATGGGTTCTGGGGACCTGGCTCACGTGCTCCTTGGCAAGCACCTTATCCACCGAGCTGTCTCCTCAATGCTTGTCTCATGGAAGACGCAGGTGTGAAGAGCAGAACTACACATAAGGATTGTTAGCGCAGAAGAGAGTGAGATGGGCTGGGGAGATTTCCAGCATGAGGAACAGAGAAGCAGAAAGGAGGGGGCACAGTGTTACCAGTCATTTGGTCCTATAAGTCACAAAGGGGGCTGTTCTGCTCAAGAACACAGAGGCCCTGGGGAAGGGATACGATATACAGGGGTGCTGGACCACAGGATTCAATGGTGCAGCAGCAGGGATGCTCATGATGGGTCCTGAAGACCACAGGAGGGCTGTCCTTTTTCCAATGCAAGTTCCCTTGCCCTTGGCCACTTGAATATGTTAGGGCATCAATTCCCACCTTGTGGGAGACATATTATCTAGGCACGGCCACAGGAAGCAATGGTGCACAGTGATTGCTGTCAGTTACACGCAGGAGGATTTGGACTGCAATCTTGGTTCTTCTATACACAGCTGTGTACTTGACTCTCTTTGTTTCAGTTTCTGTGCGAATCCCTGGGCTCAGCCTCCAGCACACACACTTCTATCTACAGTCACTGGTTTTAAGTCTCAGTATCCCCAGACTCTAGCGACAGCAGACTGTGCCAGCTCTATATCCTTAACACAAAGATCACACAGCCTATTTGGTAATGGTCTTAAACGGGATACGGCAGGCACCTGGTGCCTGGCAGATACTCAGTAGCTGGCCGGTCTCATGGTAGGGGTAATTCAAAGGGAATGGAACAACAGTCAGAGCCCAAGGTACTTCATGCTGGCTTCTCACCATTCTCCTGTGACATATTCTCCATGTATTTCGCCTTCATCTGCTCCTCTTTTGATTTCTTCATCTCCCTAAAGTAATCGTAGACCTCCTGGGGCAGCTTTTCCCCTGGGTTCCGGGGAGGCAGCAGCAGGGTGTTGTAGGAATCATAGCCCTTCAGCTGTCGCAAGATCTGCTCAAGGGGAGAATGAAAACTACCGTTGGCCTCATTGGAGGTTTGCTCTTGCTCACTGACCTCATCAAAGCCCTGCTTCTACCAGAGGCTGAGATCAACAGAGATGATTCGTGGGTTTCACATGGTGGGGCCCTCTGAGAGGTCTAAAGGTAGCGCCCCACCCTGAACTTACAGGGATTCAAAATCTTTATTTTGTTTCACACACACCCAAGCATTTCACACGTGGGAGACAAAGTTCTTCTTCTTTTCAGAATAGCACACATACATTTTTTCCCTAATAACTAACATACTATTATCCACTCTGAGTGGGTCATTCTCAAAAAGTGCAGTCACACATCACCCAATGAAAGGGATGTGTTCTGAAACATGAGAAACGCATTATTAGGGGACTTTGTCATTGTTCTAAAACCCGATGGCTCTGATGTCTGAAATGTCACTTTATTCTGTGATGTTGTACAGGGCAACATTCTTTACAATATTGCACTTGGTGAGGTTGTTTCCTCATAAATAGAGAATACAGAGAAAATAGGTAAAATGACAGATGGTGTGTGTGTGTGTGTGTGTGTGTGTGTGTGTGTGTTAGGGCTTCTGGATAAAGTAAAGCATTAAATATAAGATAAATCAAATAATTTTTAGTATATACTATTTTGGCACAATTATACTATGTTTTTATGTATCTAAACATTAAATATAATTGCAGATTTTCGCGGTAAGTCTGGCAACCCTAGAGTGTATGTAAAAGGCAATGAAATAAATTCATAAGAGGCATATACATCTGCAAGATGCCTTATAACGTGACTCTCTGTTTTGTTACACGAGCCTTTTCAATGATTACTATTTTCAGTTGTTTCAATCATCCATGAATTAAGAAAAAGGAAGATTCAGAGAGAGGAGAGAAGGAGGAGGGAGAGACATATCTACACAGAGAAAAAGAGACACACAGAGAGAAAGACAGAGAGAAAGAGAGAACCCTGGATTTCTCACTAGGTCCTGGAGGCTAAAAGGAAGAGTCATAGTTTTTAAGGGCTCGATGAACCATTGGTCCAGAATTCTATAGTCAGAAAAAAAATACATTCTCAAGAATGAGGGAGGAAATGGAGACATTCTTAGATGAAGAAAAATGAAAAAAATTCACAGCAAACCTACCCTAACTGATAACTGACAGAGTGATGGGTTATGAATTACAATGACAAAATATAGGAAATGCCAAATGAAACTTATTATTCTGTGTGCTGACCAAAACCTAATAGTAACAGATCTTTCGATGGGAGTGAAACAGTAAAAAGAAGTCTTGGAATATCAGAAAGAAAATGACGAATAATGGGAAAAACGGACAAATGCTTCTCCTTCTGTGTGGGTTTCTAACAAAAATTATGATGTCTTCTATAAGGAGATATTCAAGACAGTTATATTAAAATGAGGAGGGTGAACCCCAATTGGTCATGAGTAGTTACAGAGACAAAATATAATGTGTGTAGCGATAACTAAAGAAGCAAGATAAAAGATAATACTCAAAATGCTCTGGGAAAATTGAGATGGAATGCTAAACAACATGGGAAGGACCAATAGGAAGGCAGCACAAGTATACAGAGGACAAAAACAACAAAGCAAACTGGCAGATGTAAGCCCTACTACATCAGCAGCCACATTAACTGTAAATGGTGCACAAATGCAAACTAAGGGCAGAGACTGACATTAAAATTATTTGTGCATATGTCTTTGTGCGTGTGTGTGTGTGCATGTGTGTGTGTACAGGGTATAGGTCGATGCTCACTGTCTTCCTCAATCACTCTCCACCTTTTTTGGGGGGGGGCGGGCTCAGGGTCTTTCACAGAATCTGAAGTTTAGCAATTCAGCTAGCCTGATGGAGTCTAGGGACTTCTCCAGGTGCCCCACCTGTCTGTTCCTTCCCAGGCTAGGCTCATAGGGGAGCATCACTGTGCCTGGCTTTTTCACATGGATGCTGGGGATTGAACTCACTCAGGTTCTCACACTTCAAGGAAGGAACTTTACTGACTAAGCTATCTCCCCAGTCCATATTGCTTAAGTGTCCCAATTAAAAGAAGCCTAAAGGAAAGTTATTTCAGAAATAATGGCAAGTTGTTACATGTAGTTCTTTACTGTGCAAATACTGACCACAAACACGCATTGGCTTTCTAATTCGCTTAAAGATGCACACGGGAATTACAAAAAAGTAGTAAATTCTCATGGGGAGCGAAGCAGGTGGAGAAAGTCTACAGATAAGGAATTGGTAAGCTGGCAAGGAAAGGGGGAGGGAGGCCAGAGGGAAGGCACTGTGGACACAAGGGCACAGGCCAGGGGTGGGGCCTGCCACGTTAGCGGGGGTGTTTGGTTTGGGTCTCTGCTCACCTTCTCCTCTAAGAGATACTGCTGGTCAAATTCTAGGGAGTAAAACTCAATGGGGAAGTTGCAGGGGTTCCTCACAATCACCTCGGCCTCATCCCCTGATGCGAACGGCAGGAGGGGCCCCAGCTCCAGAACCGAAGGGCTGAATTCCAGCCGTGGCTCCAGACCTTGCCCCTGAGCCAGGAGCACGAGCCTCTGATTGCTCTGGCCAATGTGGAACAGCAGCGACTGGCTGTAGAACTTCTGGAAAACATGGAAACCACACACCATGCAAAACTGAGAACCACCAAAGGGACAAAGCTTCCTGCCTCCAGATGAAAGGAGACAAGTTTCCTACATAGCTGTGAAAGAGCAATCACCATAGTGGGGACTCTTGCATGGTGTGTATAGAGCATGCTAGGTACTGTACAAGGGGCCTGACCACGTACAGCAGGCCTAAGTGTCATCTTCACGTCTCTGAGTTTCCTGTATGGGTCCCACTCTTTGTCACTCTGGGCCCATGGGCAGCAGAGAGTGTAGTAGAAAAGCCAGGGAAGTAACAGCTTCTGGGACCACTGACTTCCACCAATAACTCTCAGGAACACGGCAAGCATCCCACTTCCCCTGCTCCATTGTGCTATTTCCCTCTTTCGGAAGTGATAAGAATCCAGAACTAGGCCGAGGATAGCTCAATTCCTAGCACCACAGAGAAAAATAAAATCAGGCCCAAATCTGGAAAAACCCTTGTTCATCTTAAATCACTCTGAAGAGCTGCAGACATTTTACTAATTTTCTTCGGAAGCATGGGCAGGTTAGATGTGCACACACTTGTAATCCAGCAGAGGCAGAAGTCAGAGCAAGTTTTAGGTCAGCCTGGTCTACTCAGCAAGTTCTAGGCCAGCCAGAGATACACAGTGGAACTCAGCAAAAAGCACAAAGAGGAGGAGAAGATGGAGAAGGGGGAGTAAGAGGAGGGAGGAGGAGGAGAGGATGGAGAAAGGGAAGGAGAGGATCAGAGAGGGAAGAAGGGGTGGAGGAGGGACAAGAGGATGGAGAGAGGATGAGGTAGGGAAGAAGGGGGCAGAAAGAAGCTTCAGCATCAGCAGCATTATGTGTAGACTCTGATAGGTAGGAACACAAGCTTCAGTTTAGAATGAAATATGAGGTTATTTACTTTTCTACTTTCCCATTGCAGATTCTGAAGCATTTCTCCAAAGCTATTACCAGGAATATGGGAGTTAGCCATATATTGTATAAAATTCACATAGATTTTTCTTATGAAAGAATAGAATACATGAGGCTGGTGGTGCATGCCTGCAACTCCTACTTGTGAGGCCAAGGATCGAGAATTCAAGGCTATCTTAGTGCTACCTAGTGAGCTCCAGGCCATCCTGGGCTGCATAAAACCCTGGCTTTGGAACCAAAATCAAAAGGAAAGCATCACTCAGATGTTTTTAGCTTTGAATAAAAACTGTCACGGTGAGATGTCTTGAGATCCTTTCCAGTTCTTGGGTTTTATTATTCTTGCCATGCGCTCCATTAGGAGTGACTTTGAACTCATGGCAATTACATAAGAGACATTTATCAGGCCGCGGGAGGCTTTCTGCCAGGAAGTACTGACTACCGTGGTGATGGCTGGTAGAAGCTAATAGTTCCTGCATCACTGATGATACACAGGGGAGCGTGCTGTGTGCTCCATTCAGTGTTGCTAATCTTCAGAATGACCCTAAGAGCCCTGGTTGCGACTCTATGCTAGCTTATCAGAAATCCCAGTGTCCAGATGCTTTCAAATTCTGATCAGTAAGAAGGTAAGCACAGTGCATCTGGGCTCTGCTACCCAGTGTCCTAAGCGGAGTCTCGGCGAGGACTCCTGTAATGAAACACATTAATATTTTGGCAGTTGCAATGTTTGAAAACTAAGAAGGATAAAGAAAGGCAAAAACAGTCATGTCAGATCAAATGAGATTTTTCTATTGAGTAGGTTTTAATATGAAACTTATGAAATTGCAACCCCCACGTTTTGAGCTTATTGGATTTCTGAATTGCAATAAGGGAGGTTTGATATGGGAATATTATTGCTTTTTATGTTACCTATGAACAAGCCGAGACTTAGTCAGACAAGTGATTTGTTCCAAGATCCACAGCCTGTAAAACAGAGGCAGAATGCCACCGATACCATGCCGCAGTGAAAGCTGGCATATCTCTCAGGGCTGCTGGGCCCAGCCCACCAGGCTGGCTACCCAGGAAGTAGGTGACCTTGAAGAGCATGCTGCGTGCAGAAAGGTATGAGTCTCAGGCAACCCTGGGCTCTGACCTCAAAGCGACCCAGAAGGAAGATCTCTACAGAGACTCATATGTTTTCAAGCTTACCTCTTCTTTGGGCATGAATTTCACTTGCACATTGGCCCTCTCGCCAGGGTCCAAGACTCCAGAAGTGGGTTGGATCTCAAAGATCCGAGTCTTTGGAATCATCTCCGCCTGTAGTTTCCGTCTCAAATACTTTGGCATGTGCTTATCCAGCTGGGTTATAAACGTAAGACAGTTAGATCATTCATGTAGCAAACAGTTCTAGCCTACTCAGCACTCGCAGGAGCTACATTTCCTGAGCGCTTCCTAGGCACCAGGGGATGTGTGCCAGAGGCAGAAGGGTGGTATGACATTACACCCAACAGCAAGGCCTGGGGACATCTTCCAGTACCAGGTTTAGGGACTGGGCAATGGCTAACACCAAGAGGCTTCCACAGCAAATTAAAATGATAGGAGGAAAGGCCCAGAACCCCAGCTCTGGCTACAGCAGAGGTGGAGAGAAGGGAAACCCAGTTTTACCTTGTTAGTAGGCTGCGGGGTGTGGACAAACCAATCACAAGGAACTTGAAGAGTGTTGGAAAGCTGAATGGTTTCCACCATGCACTGTCCACACTGGATTGTAGAAAATTCTACTTTGTTGCAGGACAGGCTCATACTTGGAATGGTCACAGTGGCTTGGAGGCAGAGGTGAATGGTTGGCCCTCCAGACACCTGGAAAGGGACAGAAAATTGTGGTTACCATGTGGCTTGGAGTTAGGAACAGCAGCAGCAGCAGCAGCAGCAGCAGCAGCAGCAGCAGCAGCAGCAGCAGTGACACAATGTCTCAAGCTGGAGATATAGCTCAGCGGTAGATATCTTGCCTAGGATGCTCAGAACCCAACTTTTGATCCCCAGGACTGCATAATCTTGGGGTTCTCAACAGGCGTGGCTAGAACCTGGAAGGTCATGTAGGCCCCATGGCGCACCATACCTTGATGGGGAGAATGACTTCTTTGTTCCCCACAGGAATATTAGCCCCTTGTGGGTCGCATCTCACTTCAAATGTTTCTGTCTCGCAGTAGGGCAGATTCTTTACACGGTCTAGCTCAGTGCTGAAGCCTAGATGGCGATGGAGGAAATTATTTTTCATGAGCAAAGAAAGCAGCACAGAGAAGCTGCTCTCCGTAGCAGGCCCTCTGGGACAGGCTGTCCAAAGTATCATGGAATAGCCCAGAAACTCCTTCCGCTGAATGAACAGCAGGAACGCTGTTCTAGAAGGATGGGGCAAGCAGGCGGGCTCCTGGTACCTGTATCGTGAAGGACATGCTTTTCTGCATGGAAAGACACTGGAAAGTGACTGGTGTTGGTGATCTTGATGATGTGGGTTCGGACGTCTCCAAGCACAATGGAGCCGAAGTCCAGGATGTACTCAGGCAGCTGGACTCTGAAACAGGTACGGGGCTGTCCTTACTAGTCACTTTCAAACCTGGGAGGCCACTTTTCCCAAAAGGAGAGAGTGAGTTCTCTCCTTGTGAAGCTTTGTTTTCCAGAGTGGAGAATAGCTAAGGGCCACTAGCAGAGAGACTAGAAACTCCAGGCATCCTTCAGAAGTCCACGCGTGTGCCTGGCCATTATCTGGCGACATGTTCAGTGTGGGTCCCCATGAGCCTGAAACGGGGGCCTGTCTATTGGATTTGACATTCTGGCTTTAAGATCCAGAATTGCCTCATTGGCTTGATGCTAGGGATGGCAGCTAACACAAGGTGCATGGCTTTCAGTCCTAGGAGATCAATTAGCTTCTCAGGAGACAAGAAACACGTTTTGCTTCACCACACTCGGAAACAAAGGTAACCCAAACACAAAAGGGCCCTCACTTGGCTATTTTGCGGCGACTCCGATTGCTGAAGTAGGTGTCTGTGGTACTGGAGGAGATTGCCTTTTGGTGTTCCAGGGCATAGTCTTGGACTATAAGTCGCTCTACCTCCATCTGCAGATGAGCACTTACCTGGGGCAAGAGCAAGAGCAATTCAGAAGGTCACTCTAGAATACGTAGTCTCTTTTTTCGTTGTGGGCAAGAATTTTTCCCACAAAGGGAAAACTACTGATTTTATCCCTCCCATGTTCCAAATGTGTAGTAAATAAAGATTAGCTTCACAATGCATAAATTCTCATGCACTCACAAACAAGGAAAGGTCTTTAAAAAAAACCGATTATTTTAAGATTTGTTTATTTTATGTATATGAGTGTTTTGCCTACGTATATTCATGTGTACCACATGTATGCCTGGTGTTCACGTAGTCCAGAAGAAAGCATCAGATCCCCTGGAACTGGAGACAGGGATGGTTGGGAGCTGAACTTGGATCCTCTGGAAGAGCAACAAGTGCACCTACCTGCTGAGCCATCTCTCTACCCCCAAACAGTAGCGTTAAAAAAAAATGGGCTGGCCAGGCGGCTCAGCAGGTACAGAGGCATTTGCTTGAGTGTGACGACTTGAGGTAGAAGGAAGAACTAACTCCTAAAAGCTGTCCTCTGACTGTCTCACCTGCTCTGCGGCACGCGCCCGGTCCCCTGGTGATTAAATATATAATAAATGTTTTTTAAAATAAAAATGTCTTGGCAAAATTCCTCAAGCGCCACAGAACTACTGTGTGTTTTCCCTGCATGGCTTCAGCTTCAATGGGTATTTTTATATTCCTATGCAAGGACGCTCTGCCCTCCGTTTCTTTTTAAAGTTTTACTTATATGAAGATGTGTATCTGTGGTTGTGTGCTCATGAGCCCAGAGGTCCACAGCGGCCAGAGGCATTGGCTCCCCTGGAGTTACAGGTTTCTTCTTACCCCTAGGGAAAGTCCAAAGCTCTTACCTGTTCTCCAGACAGCTGCTCACCTTGCTGGGCTCGTCTTGCCTTCTTCCCATGCGCAGCATTTGCCTTGACTGTATGTCTTTCCCTCTGTTTCTGGGATGTCCCACGTCATCGCCCCACCCCAATTTGCATGCGCTCTCTTCCTCACAGATATTCTGTGCAGGGCAGAGCTGCTCTCACCTCTGTATTCTCCTCCTCAGTGTTGTCCTCAGAGATCATCTCATATTGATTGACAGACTCATATTTATTATACTCTTTCTCCATGTTCTTCTTCGCTTGTTCCAGGAAGCGTTCATACTTTTCATTACCTGTGGAGGGCGGAGGGGAGGGAATCAGTGTAGTCAGAGATGCGCTCAGCCTCAAACCTAGCCGCGCAGCTCAGGGGGAGCTGGGAAGGGAAGGGAACATTTTGACACTTCACCTGCCATATTTTCTCTACTTTGGAGGGACAGGTAATTTGTGAGTGAGCTGGATTTGTATCTGAGACCTCTCTGAGGTTAATGACATGGCTCATAAAAACTACAAGCTGGCACTCAAGATTATGAGAGACCAACAGGCTCACCTGGAACGCTGCTCAGTTCTCACACTAACCCTCTAGCCCTGGAGTCCCTTCCAATGCTGGACAAGCTGAGACGACTGGCCACTCTTTTGGGGGCTTTTGACACCCTAAGTCTCTCCCAGTTAACACAAAGGATATGTTGGGGTCAAGTTTCTTTAAACCTAAGAGAGCCACAACACCCTCACTGAAGGACGGAGACAATTAGCACAGGGATTGCAGACACCTGGATTCACTGAAAGTCACTGCAAACTCAAAACGCTGCACAGGTCAAAGTGGGTGAAGAAATGAAAAAGCCGATTGTGAAACTCTGGGGGACGATGAGACTGCAGTGGACACGGGGGCTTAATCCCAAACGATGGGTGTGCAGATCTGGGTAACTAAAAAACCTTCCTGATAACCGCACCCTCTGTGTTATGGCGCCAACGGGGAACCTGATTTTCAGCTGTGAGGCAATGGTCTCCTGTGTCTGCAGGGTCCAGATCTACACATTTGAATACTTATGGCCAACACTGTTTGGACAAACAGTGCATCTGTAGTGACATTGGACAGGCTTTGTCTCATTATTATCTCCTGGCAATTGAGCAAGTCACCGTTAGACACTTCTACTGTATTAGGCCTGTGAGAGTCTACAGGTGGGTTGAAGTGCATGGGCGGATGTGTGTAGGAGCCATGCAAACAACATGCCATTTTATGTGTACGAATTGTGCATGTGTAGATTTCAGCCCCTGAAGCTAGTTCTGGCTGGATCCTGAGGACTGAGGGTGTGTGTGGAGCTGGTTACCTCTCTCTGGCTGAAGCTATAATACTGGAGTGTAGTGTGGTCTTAGCTTTACTAACATTTATGCTATATGAAATATAATACAACTTAATATGAAAACATGTTTTCGGGGAGCTGATAATTATAATTTATTAGATGATCTGGAGCCAGTGAGTTTGTGACTTTAGAGAAGGCAGAGGAAGGCTGGGAAGCGGGCTTCAGCCTGAAGCACTGTAGAGAAAGTGGACCCAAGGGAGGCAAAGAAGGAAGCCATGAAGAAGAAGCAGGTTCTCTTGACCTTTGGTCCTGTCTTGGGTCAGGAAGAGCAGACTAAAAGAGCATCTCAGCCAAGAATTAGGACCTACCAAGGCAGGAGTACCAGCCTGGCACAGGAGGCTGGCTCTGGGGACCACATGGGGCCAGAAAAGGCATGAAGGCAAATAGCAAATAGTATGTAACTTCAGTGTCTAAGCGGGGGCCCCTGCGTGAAGGTCTACAGGGTGTGGCTGCTTCCTGTGACGGTTCTGTTCTGAGAGTTCTACACCCGGCAGTACCCAGACTCCAGCTCTGTCACCAGGATACCAAGCATGCTATTGGGACAGGAGACTGGGAGAGAAGTTTTGGCTGGAAGGGACACACACTGGTCCAAACCTCTCCCTTTGACAGGGAGTTTAATGATGGCAAAACTGGCCCGGAGTCTTAGTTTGCAAAGGTCACAACTTGAGTCAAATTTACTTCTTGTCCCCAACCCCTGGCAACTGAGGCACAACACCAAAGAGTACTAGAGAAGGTTTTGCAAGCAAATAAAATGATCAAACAAAGTGAGTAGCCACGAGCCTTCAAAGATGCAGAAAAAGCCAAAGAAAACACTGGTACCTTTTGTCCTCTGGGGGTACGCTACTGCAGTGGGTGACAGTACCTCGGAGGTTCCTGTGCAGATCAAGGCTGATCCGGGGAAAGATGCCCTCTCCGTACAGAGTGATATTTTCTGGGTCCAGGTGGGCGATCTGTATCTGGAAGCTTCTTTGGAAGACCTCAGGTATTCCAGGCAAGTAGTAAACTTTCAGCACCTGCTCCTTATTTGAGCGGATAAAACCCTACATGGCAGAGAGACCAGAGTGAGCTGGACAGTGTGCAACGGACTTACGCTCCCTGTGGATGTCTAGACACACTACCCTCAGATCAGTTCCCAAGGAGCTGTAGGAAAAAATGACAAGAAAATACAGGGAAGTAGGCAGCAGAGGAACAGGGACTGCCCAAAGGAACACACAGAACATTTTAACAGAATGTTAAAGCAGAAACATTTTAATGTGTTGTTCCTTTCTTAATGTCTGGGTTTGAGCTTTGTATATTGTGTACACTGGTCCTCTGTGGGATGAGTCACTAGCAGTGATGTTTTCCCACTCTGTGGGCTGACTGTTCAATTACTTCACATTTTCTTTTTCGGTACAGAAGCTTCTAACTTCCATAAAACACCTTTGTCCATTGATGACCTTATTCCCTGTGCTTCTGGAGTCTTATTCAGAAAGTTCTCACCTGTGCTTACCTAGAAGTTGAAATATTCTTTTTTTTCCCTTTAGCAGTTTCGCTGTACCAGGCTGGTCTTGAACTCACAGAGCTCCACCTGCCTCTGCCTCCCAGTGCTGGGATTAAAAGTGAGCAGCACTGCCACACCCTACCAGACTAGCAATTATATCCTGAGGTCTTTGCTCCATTAGATGTTGAATTTTGGGAAGGGAGAGAGATCGAGACCTAGTTTCACTTTCCACCCAGGGAAACCCAGATTTCTCAGAACCATCTGTTGAAGATACTATCTTTCCCCTGATGTATACTTTTGGCATTTCTAAAACAACAACAACAACAACAACAGATAACTGTATGTGTGTGGTTTTATACTGTTTTATTTATTTATTTTTTGGTGCCAGTGCCCGGTTGCTTTTATCCCTTTGACTCTGCGGTATAACTGGAAAGCAAGTGTGGTGGTATTACCTGCAGGATTCTTTTTGTTCCGGATTCAGACAGTGGAAGTCCTCACCTTTGTCAGCCATGAGGGAAATGCAAAGGAAGGCGACACTAAATTTGTCTTTTTAAAACACAAAGCTGGTAGAATGTATCAAGTTGGGTGAGAAGGTGCACCACAGGAGATGCTTATGTGCCTCTCGTGGAACTTTGAGAGCAATAAGCACACAGGGAGGGAAACCCTGTAGGAGTCGGGCACAGCAGCGTAGAAATGGAATCCCAGCACTCAGTGGATGCAGGAGGATTTTGTTCGAGGCCAGCCTGGGCTGCCTAGAGAGACCTTGTCTGAAGACTAAACCCAACACAAAGAAACAGAACGAAACATTTCATGTCACCACGTAAAGAAGATCATACCCTGGTGCGGAGGATGTTGCTTGAGAAAGTTCCAGAAAAACCTCATCAAGAGATGTGGCTACCAGCATGTGGCTTCTGCTTTCGCTTTTAGGAGCAATTGTGCATAATGGGGAGTTTCCTGCTGATGCAGCCCCCGGGGGAATGGATTCACTTTCCTGGGATAAAACTCTGAAGATGGGGTCAAGGCCTGAAAGGTGAGTCACAGAAGGAAGGGTCTGCTTTTTGCCCCAAGGACTGTGGGATCAATAGGGTGGATTCTAAGAAATATCTTGCTCAGCTCTGGACACAAGACGTCATAGGTATACCTACTGTCCAATACTGGAGCAAATATAGAGGAAATAAGAACAATGTGGGCTGATGGAAAAAGAACGAGACACCAGAACTTTCCTTCCTGGGAGCCTATGCAAAGAACAGGCTCTTCCTATAAAACTGAGGAACAGAAAAATGCTATAATCAGCTAATTAAATGCTTATTATATTTTGTAAAGCTTGCATTTTAGAAAACATCAAACGATGCTACACATAACACAGGTAAAGTAAAAACAATTTCGGACTATCTAACATGATGTAACCGCATGAGCAGCCAGTCTGGACACTGGCTGGAAAAACAGAAGGTCTATGCTTTGCAGACCCTGAGAAATTTGTCACTTCCTGATGTGACAGAGCTGTCTGAGATGTTGTTTCAGGTAGGAATGTCTGTTGTGTACTTTGCTTTTCTACCATGGACATTTAACCGAGAAGTGAAAAAGAGATCCGGGGCCCTGATGCTTGCCAAATGACTTATGTAGGCAACATGCTATATAAATAAAGTCTCTTTGATTAAGAGAGAGCTGCTGAACCCTCAGATGTACGTTTGCCCATTTCTTCCCCTGCCAACTCCACACCTCCTCTTTGGGACCTGAACCCCGCTGAATCTGGACTTTGGCAATATACCTAGCAATTTTATTTTTGGCAGAAGTCCCTAGGAAAACATCTATTTACCTTTGGGTCAGAAGATATGTATGGGGAAATTCATGGTAGGATTGTTTCTAATGAGAAACTTCTGACTAACTCACCTTCTATAATTAAATGTGGTTTCAATGGAAGACGGGAAATTTCAACATGACTAGGAAAGGAATACTATTCTGCAGTAAAAATAAGTGAACTATAGCTATGATGTGACAATATGCGTGATTCCTAAAAATCATAATGCTGGGCAAAAAAAAGGCAAGTTGTCATGGATTACATCTAATTGTACCACTTAAATCATTCTATTTTATGTACACGATGGTTCTGTGGACCATATGGATGTCTGGTGCCTGTGGAGGTCAGAAGAGAGCATTAGATTCCTTGGAATAGAGTTACAGACGGTTGTGGATGCTGGCCCTTGAAACCTGGTCCTCTGGAAGAGCAGTCAATGCTCTTAACCACTGTGCCTACCTAGCCACAACTATGCCAGTTTTAAATAAAGCTTGCGAAAAAAAAAAAGCACAGTTCTTTTGGAACCTCAACTGGGAAAGTAATACTGGCCAAATTCTAGTTAAGGAAGTATCTATGATTGAGTATGATTCGTATCTTCATAGTTTTTGAATTCTCTCTGAGTGAGTGTGTGTGTGTGTGTGTGTGTGTGCATGTGTGTGCAAGGAGGAGGACAACCTTGGGTGCCATTCCTCAGAGCGTGATGTTGGCTTTTGATGCAGAGTCTCTCATTTGCATGGAATTCATCATAGCTAAGATGGTTGCCAGGGAGCCCTAGGGATCTGCCCATCTCCACTTCCCCAGAGCTGGGATCACAGGTGTGCACCACCATGCCTGCCTCTTTTAGCCTCCCTTGCCCACTTTTTTAATATCTTAGGAGTATTACATATTCTTTGAAGAAAAACTATTGAATGAGGGTAAGAAAAAATAAGCCACAACATAAATAATAATAAAATAGTGACATATTGACATATGTTGAGCTATAACTTATTTAATGCACACGTGCTGGGGATACACTAAGCCTAGTGAAGTCAATAAACTTATCTCAAATCCCCAAACTGAGAGTGACGCTTGCCTGTCACCATTCCTGTGAGAAGCCATTGCTCTCTCTCTCCACTCTCAGGCTTCCTTATATGCTATGTTTTTGATGCTCACTCCTGAATTTCACAAGACCCTCACCCTCATGAATCACGGTGTGAGGTTACACACATGTGGTGTGTGTGTGCACTGCACAGTCCAGCTGCAAAGGGTGCCATGCTTGTGTCGGTAGGGTTTATCTTCAAACCATCTTGCTCCCTTCTCCTCACTCCTCCTCTGGGCAGTCCACACAAGTCTCCATTTCCCCCACAGAGCCATTCTTCCTGTGCTCAGTGTTCTGGGAGGAGGGCAGTCTTAGCTTCTCTCTCCAAAGCTTAGCAATGCATTTTCCCAATAAGAACGGTTCTCATGCAGTACTGCTGGGCAGACGTCTCTCCGTTGCTATACACTGAATATGCATGGGCAATTATGCATTCTGCAAATATTTGTTTGCATGCTAAGAACTTGGCTTCATAATAGGACAGTTGGCAGATTGCAAAGGGAAAACACGCAGAGAAAATCCCATTCAGAGAGAAAGAGAAGCCCTAGGTAAAAAGGGGTTGTCACAGCAGCTTCAAGGCTCTGGACCCCAGAAAGGCCTCTTGCAAGGCTGACCCTTGATTGGCATCTGGAAGCCAAAGTTCTGGAAGGTTCTTGCCATTTTCTTGCCATTCCTTACCTTGCCACATCTGTGCAAATAGTACAGTTTATGTCACCTCCTTGCTTGATTTCTGAGGGAATTTTGCTATGTGACAGGCAGAAGCCCCTGGGTGACAAGCATCTCCAGTGAGTCCCTGGCAGCTCTCAAGCCGTCGCCACAGTTTATTACTGGGGGACTGTGATGATTAAGCTTTGTTGTCAATGTGACTGGCTTTAGGATCACCATGGAAACATCCATCTGTGCGTCTGTGAAGGTGTTTTCAGAATGGCTTAACTGAGGTTAGACACACCCGGAATGTGGGTGGCTCTGTCCCATGGGCTGGGGTCCGGGAGAGAATAAACATGAGGAAGCAAGCTTAACAAGTGGCATCCACCTCTCTTGATGCTTCCTGAGTGTGGACACTGTCGCCAGCACCTCGGGCTCCTGCTGCAATGCGGACAATCTGCGGGCCCCACATGGTGATGGACTATATTCCTTCTCAAATAAGCCCTTCCTTCCTTCCTTCCTTCCTTCCTTCCTTCCTTCCTTCCTTCCTTCCTTCCTTCCTTCCTTCTTCTGCCCTTCCTTCCTCCCACTAGCCCTCCTTTTCTTCTCTCCTCCCAATTCATTGCTTTTTTTTTTTTTTGGCCTGGTATTTTGTCACAGAAATGAAAAGAATAGCTAAGGCAGGGACTTAGTGTCCCGTGGGGCTCCCTGGCGGGCATCCTCTCAGGTGTGCCTCGCTTCTGACCTTTTGTCTTTGGGCTTCATTCCTTTGCTGATTTCGCTTTGTGCCCTTCTGCTATAATAAATCATAGTTGTGAGAATGACTTATTGCTGAGTCCAAGGAATCTTCCTGGAGAAGAAGGCACATGTGGCATTTGATCAAGTCTGGCCAGCCTCTCCGAAAGCAATCAGTTGGCAAACCATCCCAGACGACAGAAAGGAAAGAAATGCTCACTTCTTACACCCAAGCTGGCCAGAGCACAAGAAGGAGTTTATGGACCAATTGTCACTTGCTAACAAATGTGCAACAAGTGCTCTTAACCACTGAGCCATCTCTCCAGGCTGACTTCTTCCTGTTTAAAACTCATCTTCCGAAAACTTATGAGGTGAGGCTAATGGATATATTCAAGGAATAAACAGCCTTGCCTTTCCCACTGTTCTTTAAGAAACAAAGGTCAGCCTTAGACTTGTGAAGTTAGGAAAAGGAATCACAGATGCCAATTCAGAAGAGCAGTTAAGGCTTATCAGGAGAAGAATGAAGGGAGTTGATTTAGCAGCTCCTAACCGGGGTTTGAAAGCCACAGCCATGACAATAGCATGGAGTTAACATACGGGTACACAGGTCAAAGGCCACAGGGGATGGTGATGGACGTGGGTATGAACGACATGTCAGGGAGAACAGCATTCCTTGTCTCCGGATGATAAGATGGCACAGCGGCTAAGAAGCACTTCGCTGTTGGAGGACCCGAGTCAGGTGCCTCCTAACCGCCAGTGACTCCAGTTTGAGGGATCTGACGTCCCTCTCTGGCCTCCTTGGGTACTCACCCACATAAAGAAAAATAAAGCCTCCAAAAGACTACAAATAGCTATAAATTAATTATATAGTTTTTAAAAATATTTTCTAGCTTTTTATAAAAATCGTGTCATTTTCGGGAGGAGAAAAATTCAACAAAAGGTTTTAGAAACTGTGAGATCAATACAGTATCATCAGGAGCCACTTCCCCTTGCTTCGAAAGCCACAGTGACTCTTTCAAGGCTGTGGGTGTCTTCATACATGCAGAGGAAAAGCTGCTTTGGTACAGCTCGTATGGGAGAAGCCCCGAGGAACTGCAAGGACATTTGATGTCCTGGTGGGAAACACTCTCCCCACCATTGAAATAGTATCTCATCATACAAGGTGACCTTAAATGTAAGGGTCTCCTTCCTATGCCTCCAAAGTGCTGGGATTTGAAAGGTGTACCACATCCAACTAAAATCAATGATTATCATGGGGAAAATCCATAGGTTGTATCTAATTGGTTCATCATGCATCCATGGTACCTGGAAATGGGTAATGTAGGACTTGAAAAATGTTTCTTTAATGAAGAATGTCCCTAAGTCTATCTTTCTATCAGTCTGTCCATCAATCCGTCTATTGACGAGGTTCATATAACCAATGTTGGCCTCAAACTTGCTAAGTAGTCAAGACTGGCCTCCATCAAACAACTGGTCCTCCTGCTTCGCCCTCCTGAATGCTGGGATTACACATGTGCACCATCATAGTTGACTCCAAATTCTCAGTTCTAACTAAAAAAAGCCACACCTGTGGTACTGGCAGTAGTGCTCCCCCAGCCTGGGTGTGGCTTGTCTCTCTGGTGTGAGCCCTCTCAGTTCAGACTCACCGACAGAGGCAGGATAAGAGGTACTCCAGGGAGAAGATTCTTTGGCGAAGACGGGTAGTTAGTCAGAACCTTGAACTCAAAGCCAACTTTCCCAGTATTTTTCAGTGTGATTTCGCGCTCCGTGACATGGTCAAACAGCTGAAGAGAGAACAGGAAGAAGGGCTGTTACCTGCCTGGGGCGTCTGCTGTTGCCCTGACAAAGGAGATCAGCACATGTGCCCCACAGACACTCCGTAAGATACTGGTCAGTTGGTTGGCCCACCCTATTGTCTGCCCTATCTATGGCCTGCGGGAGTGCATGACGGTCTGGCCCTGTGGAATGACATTTCCATAACTCGGGGCAACACAACAGCAGGATATCTGAGAGGAGCTTCGGTGAGGGTCCAGTGACGATGGTATGTCAGAGGCCTTGAGCCAGACCAGTGACTCATTGCAACAAACATCTTGCAGGTGGGGCTGATTGGACAAAAGGGTAAACTGTGTGACACCCCACAGCTCCTGACGCCACTGGGATGTGTGTAATCCTGGCACTTGGGAGGCGGAGGTGGGAGGATCAGGAATTGAGGTCATCCCTTGGCTGCAAAGTGAGTTTGAGGTAAGCCTGGTTGCATGAGACCCTGCCTCTAGAAATCAAACCCCAAAACATTGAAACAAAAATCTAGGCATGGCTCGATGAAGTCCTGTAGTGTGATTAGTGTGACTGAGTGGGACGTAGGTGGGTGACTTGGAAATACTGGGTGCTGAATGTTTGTGGGGTGTGTGGGAGAGCGCAGCAAAGAGCCTTGGGCATTGTAAATGGAGGGGTGCGGGAAAATAGTGCTAACGAGAGAAAGAGAAGAATCACAGCAGCTTCTGGACGGAAAAATGAGCATCTTCTCATGTTTAACTTGAGGAGACAGTGAGAAACGCAAGGGAAAATGGTTGCAAACAGGGGGACTGGGGCAGGGGAGCTGCTTACGGATGCGTGATGATTCAAGAGAGATTCAAGGGTAAGGGCTACAAGCCATGTTTAAGGCAAACCCAGAAAATCCCCACCTGCTGTCTGCAGTACCTGTAGTCCATAGTTAATGTCCTTGGTGTCAAAGGAGTAGCTGACCAGGGAGGCCTCTCCCTTCAGGACTATTTCATAGGTGGGCCCTCCTTCCACTTCACACAGAGCTTTGGCCTTTGCAATGATGTCACAGTGCCCATAGAAGGTAAATGATATCTGATGGCTGCTGTATGGCCGCAGAACTCCGTAGAGGGGCAAAATGTCAAATACCTGTAGAGAAAGTCACCCCACATGAGAACAGCGGTCATGGTGACAGGGTCTGCAGCAGATGAGTTAAATTTTGTCAGTGAGCGGACTCATTCCGGACTTTATTTATTTATTTATTTATTTATTTATTTATTAATTAAAGATTTCTGTCTCTTCCCCACCGCCGCCTCCCATTTCACTCCCCCTCCCCCAATCAAGTCCCCCTCCCTCGTCAGCCCAAAGAGCAATCAGGGTTCCCTGCTCTGTGGGAAGTCCAAGGACCACCCACCTCCATCCAGGTCTAGTAAGGTCATTCCCGACTTTTAACTGAACTCTTGGCCATGTATGAAGGTAACAGTGGAGGCACTCTGGGCAGATGCTCGGTTCTAATACAGAGCAGGTGCTTAGACATATGAGTGCTGGGTAATCAGGGACCCCGGGAGACCACTTACTTCTTCTATCCCGATGGAAAGCATCTCCTCCTGCTCAAAGATCCACAGGGATTCTGGGTAGTCCGCCTGGCTCTGGCTTCTTTCTGTTTCTGCAGAGCTGTATTTTATTGCCTAGAAATGGAAAAGGGAGGAAAAGCTAGCAAGTGCGTGCAGCCCGTCATCAGGCACACCTCTCCGTCCCTGTGAGAGAGAGGACATAAAGCAGACATGACGACAGGACTGGGACGCGGGGGATGGAGAGCTGGCCCAGTGGCTAAGAGCAAGCACCAGAGGACCTCAGTCTGGAATCCCAGCACCCATGTTGAGTGGCTCAGAGGAACCTGAAACTCCAGCTCAAGAGACCTGGCTCTCTTCTGGCCACAATGGGCACTGCACGCATGTGTATATATACCCTCTCCAATACAAGTATATGTACTGAAAATACCTTTTAAAAAACTGGACATTTTTTCCTATGACAATAATTGGACAATGCTCAAAATGTACATATATGTATGTACACAGCAGAGTTATTTTAACAGGGGAGCTCTGAAAGCAAGCTGTCTGCCCACCAGCGACAGCATGCTTTAAATAAAGCGTGTGTGGTACCTCTCTGCCCACAGAGGATGACACAATGTGTATTTGTCGACCAGGAATGAGAGAAAAGGTGGATTCATTCATGTGAAATTGCATAGCCTCGTGTGAGTCACAGCCTGAAGGCAGGAGTGGGTGCAGACTCATTCTGAGATTTGCATTTGCAAGCAGTATCTGGGAGACACCAAGCAGATCGCCAGTAGTTTTCTTATGAATGAAGGGATTCAGAGAAGCTTTGCTTTGATTTTTCTGTACTGAATGAATTCTTGATGAGAAGCATCTCTGAGGACAGAAATTAGTGAACATTCAGAAGACAAAGTGTGACATTAAAAAGCAGGGAAAAATTTAAGGAAAGAAAAGACAATTAATAGGTTATATATAGTACCTATGTATGTATGTATCTCTGTCCTGTGTTATATGTGTCTGTCTATATCCCATGTGATGGAATTGTCTTCAAGAGCATTACTTAGAATATTAAAAGTAGTTGATACATATTCATGATACAAATTTAAAATATTAAAAAAGGTATATATCTAAGAAAATAATACTTCTACCAATATTCCTTACTCTTCTGGTGTCTCTTAGGTAACCACTGGTTGGGTTTTGATAGGCTTCACCTGATTATTTTCTTCTTTTGACTAATTTTTAAAAATTTATTTAAAAATATTTTGATATATTTATGCATGTATTTGAGAATGGGTAAGTACAGAAGTGGAGGTGCCCATGGAGGGCAGAGATGATACCAGATGCTGTGAAGCTGGAGTTACAGGTGGCTGTGGCCCTCCTGATGTGGGCACTGAGAATGCCCTCTGGAAGAGAAGCAAATGCTCCTAACTGCCGAACCACCTCTTCAGGCTTTATTTGACTAGAACTTATGGAAGATATACTAGGAACCAGTTCTAGGTTCTGGGGATAAAATGGTGACCAGAACAGGAAAAAGAAAACCTCTGCCTTCATGATGCTTGCACTTCTTCGATATTCTATACGTACGCAAATATAGCTATTTCGCCATTTCAGAAACATAGACTGCCAAGGCTCCCGGCTAGACTGCTTGACACATGCATGCATCCTCTCACTGAAGTGGGAAAGGATAATGGCTCCCACCAACAGAGACAATGTAAAAAATGTTTACAACTATGCAACGTTTATTAAGTATTCAGTAAGTGCTAGTTGTTGGGGCTGGAGTGATGGCTCAGTGGGTAAAATAATGGCTGCTCTTGCAGGGATCTGGATTCTATTCCCAGCAACCACCTGACAGCACATAACCATCTGTCCAATATCAGGGGATCTTATGCCCTCTACTGGTCTCTGTGGGCACTGCATGCACATGTGGCACATGCACACATGCAGGCAAAAATCACATATATAAAATATTAAAAAAATAACTATTAGTTTTTGTTTTTATATAGTTTTGCCTTGACTTAAATGGTTGAAGACTATGCACACACTTTAGTGGTTGCCCGTTTTCACCTAGCACTTTTGTATTTAATACTTTCGAGTTTATAGTAGAGAATCTGTTTTTTTTTTTTTTTTATAATAGAATTACATTCTATTGCACTGCCTTGTGCAGATGCAATTTGGCTTATTCAGTTACTCTCCTGTTGGAAGAATTGTTCTTTCCAAAATGTTCTTGTTTTTTTAAACAAAGCTGTGATGTACAAGTCTAGTAACATCTGCATATAAACACAGGGGCATATCTGGAGAATAATTTAAAAGAGGAAAAATGTGTTTTAAATATTGAAACACCTTCCAAGTTACTTGTCATAGAGGTTATATCAGTTTGCTCCACTGCCTGTACATATGAAAATCTCTGCTCATGTGTATTCTTTGCCATGACTGTGTCTTAGCAAAGTAATTCATTTTGCTTTTTTTTTCATTTTTTCCTGCTATTTCCAACGTGTAATAAAAATATCTTTCTAGTGGAGAACTTTGTGTCATTCTTGAGGGAGTATTGAAGGGTATGAATTCTAAATGTATGTATGTGGATTGTGGGCATGTTGTATATGGGAGTGTTTATGTACATGTAAATGTTTATTGTGTTCACATGGGAGAGCAGGTGCCAGTACCTATGTGTGTACATGTATGTGGAGGCAAGATGTCAATGTTTACATCTTGATCATTCTCCACCTTATTTTATTGAGATAGGGTCTCTCACCGAATCTGTAGCTCACCACCAATTTGGCTAGACTGTAGGCCTGTCTCCACACCCGTCACTCCAGTGCTGGGATTACCGATGTGTGGCGCAGAGACGTGGGCACTGGAGATCTGACTCAGGGCCTCATGCTTATACAATTGGCACTTTAAGCACTGAGCTACTTCCCTGGCCTGCAGCTAGCTCTCAGCTCGCCTTTGCAGATGCGACAGTGCTCCTGAGAAAGGTACTTTTCCATTGGCAGCCCCATGGCAGTGAGGGGGAAGAGCCTGGAGATGCCCATTTTTCCTTTTCAGAAATTGTGTCTCGAGGTATCCCAGGTGCTCACTGAGGTGTTCCCTCTGGGGAAGAGGTGACCTGGACAAAGCTACCCAGCCCCATGCCAGCTCCATCCCAGTGTTGCGCATGGCATGCTGCCCCTATCTCTTCTCTGCTTTGGGAAGAACCTTTCCCTTGCTAGCCCTGCCCAGGAGTAAAGGAACCATACTTCTGAGATCACGGTGGAGGCTGCGCGCTTTTTGATTTCTTCAGGTCCAGCTTCATCATCAATAAGGATAGTCCTGGGGAGTTGGAGGAAATGAGAGAATCACTCACTTGGCAGCCATCACCATCAGTCCAGCTGTAGCCCCCACCTTCCTCTTTCTCTTTGCCATATCCCAGAGTAAGTCTAGAGTATCACTGAAGGGACACTTTCTCCAAGAGCTCAGATGGCAATGCTCAGCTGTAGAGTGAGCCTTTACACTGCTCAGTTTCCAAGAGGACACCCTTTCCTGGTGCATCAGGTTCATGTCCTATTTTTTAAAAAAGCATTCTGGGAAGCATGGGCAATTCTTCAGACAGTTTGGACAAGCCCTCAGTCCTCAATGTTCAAGTTCACAATTTTTTTTTTAAATTTTGTTTTTGAGCCTGGGTTTCACTATGTAGCCCAGGCTGGCCTCAAACTCATAATCCTTTTGCCTCAGCCTCATGAATAATGACATGGCAGGCACGTGCCACCATATCTAGCTAAATTTCATAATGACTTAGAGTGTTTGTTGTGAGGACACAGCGTTTGATAGATGGATAGTGATGTTATTTTCTGCTTTCTACCCTGAGTTCCATCCTGTAGGCAGAGCCTTGCTCTGTGGAGGAGCAATGGGAAGGAAGGACTTAGTCCCCCAGGATTCAGAACTCTGTATGCCACTGGACAGTAGGGGTGGTTCCCAGCACTCTAACCCAGAGAGTCAGTGGTGGGTCTAACACAGAATCTACCCATCTAACTGTTGACTACGATGTGTCTGCATGGACAAGGGAGGGATGGGTGTTGAGAATGTAAGTTCAGTGAGAGGAAAGAACCACACTGGCCTTGCCTACTTACTTGATAGAATCGCTAAAGTCCACCTCAGTAGACTCTACCATCGGTGGGGCTGCTGGCGAGCTGGCGGTAACTGAGGTTGCTGGGATGGACTCCATCTGGGACGTGAAAGCACTGTACGGCTTGATGCAGGGTGCAAACCTACCAAGGCAAGAATGCATTGCAAACTGAAGAATGTTGGCCCCTGGGCTCTCATTTCATATCCTATACTGGAAAGATCTAGAAGGAATGCCTTGAGCTTTCTTGTACTTGTCTTTTAAAAATCTCCACAGCCTCACCCCATCTCAGCCTGGATCCAGGATTTCCCTTCTGAGTTTAGTTTCACTACACCATGGAGCTTTTTCTCAAACCCTGGGAGTAATCTTGAGAGCTGGTCTTTCATGCTACTAGTAAGGTGTCACTCATTAGATTAAAAAGGCCTTCGGATGTCACTAAGGCCAAGGCCGAGGCTCACTCCCATTCTTCTTCTTTCTGTGCACACGTGACTTTGTTCTGGCCTCCTCCTCTTCCTCCTCATCTTTTACTATGTGTTCCAAACCAGTTCACTTATCCAGTCCTCCTGGCCACATCAGAGCCCAGGCTCAGCAGAAGGCCCTGGCACTGTCCTATCTTCCCTGTGCAGAAGGAAAGCCTCCCAGCTCACCATAGCTCCTCATCTGTTTGGGATGATGCCCACTTCCCACTGAGGCCTGGAGTGTGGTTTCCTAAATTATGGGTACCCTATTACCACGTTCTGATTTCTGCCTCTCCAATTTTACCTAATAAAGTAATTTTATGGAGATGTGGTTCACTTAGAAAACAAACTCATCAGCATATGGTTTGATGAAATTTTACAAATACACGGACCCAAATACCTACCGCCCCATGTGTAGACAGACTATCATCCCCCGGAAGTCACATGTCATCCTTGTGGATTTGTGCTTTATGGCACGGTGGATATATTCTGCCCACAGTTTTATAGAGATGGAGTCTGTCTGGCATCTATACTTACTGGTGCCTAGCTTCTTTGGTTCAACATGAACATTTTGAGATTAGTGTTGGTATGTGGAACAGTACTGTTTTCAAAAATGGGGTAGTACTCTGTAATATGGATACTTAACCTGTTTTCGTGTTGATGGACGCCCAAGCTGTTTCTAGCCTTTGGATGCTATTAATAAAGTTGCAATGAGCATTGAGTAAGAGGAACATAGCAGGCTTTTAAGTGTCTTATAGCACTTGTAGGACAATAGATGTAGTTACGAAGCATATCCTAGTATATTTTCTATATATCAAAATTATACAGCTTAGTGAGAAGTCATCTTCCTGACCATCCCAGATATATGTGTCCATAACATTCAGATGCCATCATGAGATAACACATACACATGAGTCTTTATGTGGACACATGTTTATTCTCTGCTTTTACTTGGATCTGGTATGTTCTCCCAAAGGCTCGTGTGTTAAGGCTTGGTCTGTGGCTTGGTGCTACTCATAGGTGGTGGAAGTTTTGGGAGGCAAGACCTAGAGGGCCCTTGGTCACTGAGGATATACCACTAGAGGGGCTGATGACAGAAGGAAGCTCTCTCCCTCCTCCCTTGGCTCTATGGCTCACGATGAGGTGAATGGTTTTAGTCTGCCTTATATCCCACCATGATGTATTGCTTTGTCCCAGGCCCGAAAGAAAGAAGACCAACCAACTATGGAATTGATGCCTCTAAAACTGTGAGCCAAAACAAGCCCTTCCTCTTTATCAGATGACCAACTCAGGCACTTGTTATAGTAAGGAACACTGACTGGCTCATTCTTTTTCCTTAAGTTCCTTTGTGGGGAGCTGCTGGATTATACGACCTATGCACATATAACATGAAAGGAAACTGAGAAACAGTTACACTTGGTGTTCAGATCAGTTTGAGCCATTCAGTGCTTACATGGTGGCAGCACATTACATATATACTAGTAGGCCTATTTTTTAAGGGAATGTTTAACATGATTGCTACAAATGAAATATTAGTTTTAATTCATTTCACAAATCAACAGGGGAAAAATCAGTGTTATTTATTTGCCTAATGAAGGCTCCAAGCATAGGCAGCATTGCCTGCTGTTTTTAGGGAGGAAGATCAGTTTACTTTCCCGTGCGGAAACCCAGGGCTGGCACCATCTGTAACTGGGCTCATCCCAGAGCCACGAGCATCTGGAGGGCAGGGTCTTTTCAGCCCTGCTGCACAAACTGTTCCATAGAGACTGCGCTCAGTGGACATTCGATTGGCTGGCAGGGCAGGTGGTTAAATGACAGCAGGAGAGCAGTGGGCTGCGCTCCCCCCTCTCCTCCCCCCATCGAGGATGTTCTTATCTTTCCCGAGCTCTCCCTGGGCTTGTTCTAGAACAGATGTCTTTAGTTGACTCTGATTTCTTGGCAGAGTCTCTCAGTTGGGTGGGTACAAAAAAAAAAAATCTCCGAGAAACTTGATACAATAAAGACGCTCAGCCCCATCCTTGGGCAGATTCAGGTCCCCGGTACGGCCAGGAGTTAATCTTACGTTGTCCCAGATGCTCCCAGTGATGAGTAGCCACCATGGGTGGGAAGTTGCTGTGATAGCTCAGGACAGAGCCGATAATTAATGTGGGGTTAACACTGCAGCCTCACCAGCTAGGGACAGTGAAAAGCAGCAAAGGACAGTCCTGAGCCCTTATTAAATCACCCCAGGTCAGCAGAGATGCCTGAGGGGACCCTCTGCTGGGTCACTGGGCACAGAACATCACTCTCTCATTCTGCATTGGCACTCTCCCCCCCGGGATGTCTTCCAGATTGAAGAGAGAGCATATGGGAACACCTGTCAAGGAAAAATACAAAGCTGTGGAGTGTCTGCACACCCGGGGAAAACAACACCTTGACTGGGAAGTGAGAGGTCTCTTTGGAAACAAGCAAGAGTTTAATCTAATGAGACTTTTAGCAGAATGGAGGCTTTAACTTATTAAAACCTATCCCCCCATCCAAACCCAGCATCGGTATAGTTCTCCCCCCCCCAAAAAAGACTTTTTGCCTTCAGGTATAGATGGTTGCTTTCCTACCATGCTGGCTCGCACAGGATTAGACTCCATTATTTCTAAAAGAGAGTGTGCAGCAATCAAGAAAAATCAATATTGCTCCCATTCTAGAAGAATCACTGAAGACAGCAGGAGAGGACACACCCTTGGGCCATGACAGCATCCTCTGAGCATCAAACACAGGCTGATGAGCCACACCGAGCCAAGCTCAGGAGGCTCGTGGGTAAGGATCAATACCAATCTTTGTGCCACACGGTAAGAAAGGTCCACCACGCTCATTTCCAGGCCCCGTGCACGGTAAGCTCAGCATAACAAAACAAAAGCCAAGAACAAGCTTGTGCTTCGGCTGCATGGTGTAGTTCTCAGGAGAAAACTATGTGTAGATGGGAGGTGACAGACATCCACTCAGGTCTGGGCAGTGAGGTCCAGGTGGTGGGCAGAGACGGTGGTCAGGACAGGGAGCTTCGCAGTACACACCGTGACTGCTGGTCCATTACACTGGGTTCTGGAAGTGTCCCTTAGAGAGGGTCAGGGCAGCCTCTGGCCTTATGTAAAGGCCTGCAGATGGGCTTTCCCTGGCTGGACAAGGAGAACCAGCACATGTTACTTTCTGAAGTGATGAGGTGGACGTGGATGGCCCGTGTCTGGATCCCCTGCTAGGAGGATGTGCTCGCTGCCCGGGGCTGTGGGTTCTGGGAGCACCTGCCCTGATAGAGACGGCCTTACAACACCGAGAATTTCTCCAGACATTTATGTCTTCCTGTAGGAAGGGCTCACAGGTAGGCAAAGGACTGCTCTATGGTTGTGACGCCCAGCCTCCTCATCTGTGAGTGGGACAAACTCTGGATATTCAACCCACTCCCCAGAGTGCCCTGTGGGACTGACTGAGGTACCTCCATTTTCTCTAGCTTCCTTCACTCTCGTACAGTTTCTCCTGAGGCTTTTCCCCTCAACACATGACTTGCAGAGCCACCATCTCAGCCTCTGCCTATAAGTAACCCACCATACCGGTAGCTCACAGTTCCAGAGAGGAGAGATCCTGGCTCCCGGCAATCCTAAGGCTGGTGTGTCAGAGAGAGACATGGGAGTGTGGCTATAACTGAGTACACAATGCTCTGACAAAGCTCTTCATGGCCAAACTCTTCCCCTACTGCCCCAGCCTTCCCATTCTCCACTCTCCTCACCTGCCCAGGTCTCAGTGAAATTCTCTCAGTTCCAAGAAAGGGCTTTCTCATTGTCGGCCTGTGGAACACGCTCTCCCTCTGCACCGGTGTTCAGTTCATAGCTATGTAACCTTTAAGCCTTAGCTTCACTGTTTTCATTGGGAGCCCTGACCTCCAAGGCCAAGTTATGGGGTCATATTCACGCTGTCCCAGTCGGCACATTGTAACCTACTCAGCAGCCAGACCTGTCTCCGCCACCGCTTTCCCTAGCGCGTGATGCTGTATCGAGTTTCAGGATGATGCTCACTCAACATTTACTGAATGAGGAATTCTATTCCAAAGTCCTACAAGGCTGAGGAGATGGCTCAGCAGCTAGAGTGCTCGCTGTGCAAGCACGAGGGCCAGAATCCAGATTCCCCAGCACCCATGTGAATGCCGGGTGGGTGGGTGGGGAGGCCAATCCTCAGAAGGCAGAAACGGGATCCCTGGGCAAACTGGCTATGTAGGTTAACCAAACCAGTGAACTATGGGTTCAACTGAGAGACCCTTCCTGGATAAATGAGGAGGAGAGGGATTAGGGAAGACTCCTGATGTCAACCTTGGGTCTTCACATGGCTGTGAATACACATGCGCCTACATACTTATGGGTATGCTAACACACACCACACTTACATAGATATCAGAGGGGAAAATGACTTGCTAATTTCCTGTATTGAAAGAGCAAGAAAGGTCTTGTTTGGGGCCTGGGAAGATAGTTCAGTGGGTAAAGTATTTTCTGGGCAAGCCCAAGGACCCACGTTATGTTCCCTACCCCTACTCACACACGAACTGGTCATGGAGGGCAGCAAGGAGACAGGTGGGGTTCTGGGGCTTGCCAACCACTCGAGCTGAAATGACAAGCTCTGGGTTTATGGAGAGAAGCTGCCTCAGAAAATAAGGGGGAGAGTGACCTCT